CATTTTAGGTACCTGTTATATCTACAAATTAAAAGAGATATTTTCCATGGCCGTCTGCTGTGCTCGTTTTCGGATGCTGCCTACCTGGGTGCCTGCATTGTCCAAGGTAAGTACAAAGGGCAGGATTTCGTGAAATACCTAATAAATCTTGGGAGGGTACGGTATCAAAGAGAAGTTCAAAACTGGAGTGGGGTAAAACTAGCAATTACTTGCCTTTTTTGTTGTTGTATCATTTCCCTGTATGGAAAAAAATACAATAATTCAACTGTTTAGCTAGTTCAAAAAAAAAAAACGAACCATTAAAAAAATAAAAGCATAAAAATAATAAAGTTAAACCATTCAAAAAAAAAAAAAAGGGAAAACAATTTTAAATCCTCTTTAAAATTGTCTTAACAGTTGTGTGAAAAAGTGTGACATCAATGCTAGACACAAATTATATAGAAAGCAAAATTCCATTCTTTTACTTTCCTGACTAGGAAGAGGAATTGAGCTTTGTGGTGATGATGGAAATCCTGGAAAATATAGTTGGTACAATTCAACGAAAAAGAGGTGTTCTCTTTTTCCACATTATTTCCTGAGGACCAAATTTAGATATGTAACTGGGATTGCTCCCAGAAAAACAGCTCATTGTCTAATTAGAGACTTCATACACATGAAACCACATTCTGCATTAAGATGAATTAAGCTTAATGTGTTACAAGGCATTATATCCCAAGCTAGATTGAGCCTAAAGCTTATAAAAAGAGACTAATTTAGAAGAACAGAGGCCAAATGCTATTTTTGACTACCTAACTGGTGTGATTTCTTGAGGAGACACCAAATACTCTAGGCAGCCTTAAATAATGATGCAACCTGTGTGTCTGTGCTAGAGCTGAGTTAAAGCAAACCATGTTGTTGAGAAAAGAGAATAGGTTGGAATTTACTTTTGCTTAGAGGCAGAATGATTAGCGAAAAGGGATGGTTTCATGTGCCTATGCTTTTTCAGAGCATATTTCTACCACAAAATAATTTTGAATTACAATTTACTTCGTCAGTTAATAAAACACAAAGTTCACTTGAAACTTATTGGTTTCAGGGACAATTAGAAGGACTTTACAGTTTCAGTTAACTAATAGCTCATCAAAACAGACTTTCCTTAGGAATACTACATCTTACTGAACTTGTAAGTCTTCTGAATTACATTGTACTTACTATATCCTTTTTTTTTTCATATTAGATAACCTTGTTTTGTATTTTGTTTTTTTGATCTGTTTAGCTGAGCTTGGTGATTATGATCCTGATGAACACTCAGAAAATTACATCAGTGACTTTAAGATTTTTCCGAAGCAGTCACAAAAGCTCGAGAAGAAAATAGCAGAAATACATAAAAATGAATTCAGGTAATTTTGGATGTTGCTTATTAAGAAAAAGCTACTGAATATTTTCAGCTGTTTCTGTATGGTGTACATTAACTAAAGAAGGATTATTTCCTAGTTTTGTACAAGACACTCTGCTGGCATTCTGTTTAATGCTGTATTTGAAAATGAAGTTTTAGGTTAGTGGGTTTCTATTTCTGTTAAGCTTTATTCATCAGAGTTGATTCCCATGTGTGTGGTGGTAAGTTAGACTACACTTACTTGAAATGTAAATCTGCCTAGTGGGAGTGGCTCATATCATGAGTGCTGCTGTGGCTGATTAATTGGAGAATGTTGTTAATATAGGGATCAGGTTTGTGTGAAAATACAGATTTACACAGATCTTTTGCTATGAAATTTCTGTACTTAGTAAAAGATGTAATTTCCTGTCAGATACTGCCTTGTCTGAAACTGTAATTATGTTATTTTATCTATGGGTTGCTAACTCAGTCGTGAATTGTACAGAAATGTATTAAGGTAACTTCTTTGGAAGACTGAGGTGAAGAGGTGAGATGAGAACTCTACCAGTCCTTTTCCTATCCCTGACTTTTACTATGTTGATAAATTGGAATGGACAAAAACAAAGATAATAATATAATAATAGTCTTACAGTATGAAGGCTGAATGTGTCCTACAAGTACAGTATTTAAGAGAAGCAGTAGTGCTTTGTGCAATCCTACCCTCTTCAGGATTGTCAGTGAATAACATGCACATTAGTAAAGGCAATTTGACACTCCAGCCGTTCTGCTCAGTCAAGTATAGTCCTTGGAGAAACTAGAGGGATATAAGGAAAATCAAATAAAAGCAAGAAACTAATTGTGTAAGTTAGAAGAAGAATCTGTTATTCTGAGATCTGCACTAGCTGAAAATACTTTTTTTTTCTTACTGATATATACATAAATGTCTTCAGTCAAAGATTATTCCTAAACATATGATTTTACGTGGTCACCAAGCCCTTGAGAAAAAAAGAAAACGCACAAGTCCTTTCAAAGAAGTTAAGCAATTAAAGTATAAAACAGAGATTGATGGAAAAACCTCATCATTTTTTCTGTTAAACCAGCAATGGAGTTCGCATGACAGTCTGAAAAGAGAGCTCTTCACCACCCTAGTTGTAATTATTTATTTATGTAATGAATGAATAACTAAGTAAATAAATACTTTGGGCCCTTATATGACTTCCCTTTTTCCCTCTTAAAACCTACGCATTTTGTTTATATTTTTTCATTTAAAAAGTGTTTTTAATCGTATAGATATGTTTGGCATTTTTAGGGCATCATAATTCGGGTTGAACTTGGGGAGTTCACCCTCGGGGGAGAGGGTGATGAAAAGAACCATACACCAATGGAAAAAACAGTGTTATTTCACTATTAATATTAAGGCAAGGCATAATGATACATTCAACAAAACAATAAGCTTACTATGCCCTTGATTTTAGTGACAGACAAAATGAGCAAGGTAATGCACCTAACCATTACTGTATGGGAAAGAGAGTAGTGGTTAAGAAAAAGATACATCACCAGTTGCCTAAATGTGTTACTACCATCCAGATCTGCAATCACTGGGAGCCCTTGTTGCAGCGAGGAGTTGGAAACCTGCCTGGCAACTGGGAGGTCATATGCGATGTGTCCACCCATAAGTGAGGTCTCCAGAGTCCCCGCAAGAGGCTCCAGGTTTCATGGAGCCAAACCAGCAAATCATGATAACTTGCATGTTCTTTGTGAGCAGTAACATCTGATACGGGATAATACCGGATCATCCAAAACTGAGACCTGGCCTGAGAGCAGGCCTTGAGTGGGAGAGTTTCCTTCAAGGCCGAAAACACTTGCATGGGAGCCCAGAAAGGTTACAGTTTAATAAGGCTTGGTGCAGGTCAGCATAAGCGGTTTGGCAGCCCTACAGCCAGCGTGGGCAGTTTGTGTGCCTGTGCAGAGGCAGAGCCGAATTGATCTGCAGGCCAGCCCGGCGTCGGGCCTGGCGTTTGCGCCCGGCAGCTCAGAACTTCACACAGGCACACAGACACAGCACTTCCAAAAAGAAATCAGAAATTCTCTGTAGTGCTCCATTCTACTATGTATTTCCAAAATCTAAATTCAACCTCTGTGAACCGATAGTTTTCGTCAGTTGAGCCCAGGTACAGCTGAAAAGATAACTCTTTTGTTTAGAGTTTGAAGGGAAAAATAGTAAGATGAAAAGGGAAGGATGAAAGTCATTCTATTTTTTTGGAAGTGGGGGAAGGGAAGAGAGATGGGGAATGAACTTGCTTCCAGTATTCAGGGACATTTTGTTATCAAAATACATTTGTATCATTGYATTATTGTGTTAATCAATAATTTATTATTGTACTGACGAGAATTCATGTCTGCAGGTCTAAAGGAATCAGTTCTTTGATTCTGTCAAAAAATTCCAGTGTGAGACATAATATCAGTTTCTGAGACAGAACTCTCTTCAATTTATTCCATTTATCTGTGTATTGGTAAATTCTCTTTCTGTTCCAGGTAACCCGTTGACATGTCATAAATGTTAGGCTTATGGYTTATCACTCTTTATAGTCCCCTGGAACTGTGTGTGTTTGCTTTTTTTATTTAATTCTTATTTTTTATTTTTTAATTTTTTATTTTTTTCCCCTGTTATGTCAGCGTTCAATGTGCCTTATCTATTTTCCCTGTCACAAGTTTTTTTGAGAGCTGTATGRGGGGCTGCTATCTGGTCCGGGCAATTTTCTGACTCTGTTTTCTCAAAATTGATCATCTTGTTACCTCTTCTGCATTGAATATTCACTATTCTTATAAGTTTTACTTTTTCTACTCCAGATATTTAATACCATGATTCTCTATTCTAGGAATGCAAATAATTAAAATGTATGTCAGATAAAAACTTCTTGCATAAAACTCCAGTGCTGTTGAAAAACCACTTCTGAGCTGGGAAAAGTAAATGACAGATGATTAGGAAAACTAAGCTTATCCACTAAGCTTATGGGGTTTCATTTAGTATTGATTATCAGCAGATCCTATTTCATGAGGTACAGTAGCTGGAATATTCTGATAAGAATTAAAATTAGTTCTCAGTATTTTTTAAAATGCTGAAGTAAGTTCCCAAGACGTTTTTTCCCTTACAAAATAGGTGGATGAAATGTTAGGTATTAAGAGGATAGAAGAGATTGAGAAACATTTTAATTATGTCTGTCATTCTGTTGATTTCAGAAAAGTTACTTTYGAGTTTCAGCACTGCAAATGAATCTACTTTCTTTTTTTCTTTGTTTTCTTTATATATTTCAGTAAACAAAGATCAAAGCATGTCACTTTTGCTGCAGGCTTTTGTATAGCCAAAGAACTGTGTTTTGGAACAGGCTCGTTCTTCACTGAATGCTATCTCATAGTCCTCTGGGCCTGTGAACTCAGCACATCTCTTCTGCTGTCCTAGAGATGACARAAGAATTTTGCTTTTGAATGGTCCTTAGAACAGTGAGAGAAATGTCTGGGAAATAATGATAGTGCAYGCTGACAGATACGAATGACTTATTAACTCATTTTTGTCTCATTGAGAGTCTGTCTCATTAGTTAGAGCAGATGGATGATATGGTGCCCTGTTCCCCTTTTTTTCTTTTTTTTTTATTTTGTGGCTGTGAAAATATCACATTTTAATAAAATGCTACCTTTACTGTGACTTTCTTCTGCACCTGATTGCATAAATTAGAAGTATGACAGACAGAAATGCATGACARTTTTACAGAGGTGTTATTAATTGTGTTATTAATCTTGTGAACTCTTAATTAATTATTCTCTCAGTGAAGAAARAGAGGGTCAGGAATAATTTAATTGAACCTCACCAGTGGCAGAGTAAACACCTACCTTGATTTCATCTCAATATATATTTTCATTTCCTGTCATTGAGAAGGGGATATGTTGTGAGGATTCACAGACAGATAATACTATGAGCTGTTTAGAGTCCCACCTGCTTAAAAGCTTGGGGCTATTCTGAATGCCCTCTCAATTTCAGCCTTGACAGCCCATGCTGGCTCATTTGTTTCCCAGTGTAGGCATTTGGTTTATTCATCAAGCTGTATGGTGGCATAGCCCTGCTGGTAGCCATATGTTTGTAGCTCTGTTCTGGGAAATGCAGCTAACTGTATGTGCAAGCTCTGTGCACTTCAGCAGCTGCGAGCTGGTCACCACTCATAGTTTGTCTCTTTCTCTCAGCAGTTCCTGAATTTGTAAGCTTTTAAGATATTTTTTAGCCACTATTAGGGGCCTTATTGAGAACTGTGTTGAGAGCTGTGTGAAACCATGGTGAGAAGTGTGATATCTCTGGATTTATTCTTTGACCTATTATTCCTGTTTATAGAAGATTAAAGAATCTTCAGGATCACCCAGAGTACGTTGCATAGGGTGGCATCCAGGTGAGTGTTGAATATCTCCAGGGAGCAAGACTCAAAAACCTCTGTGGGCATCCTGTGTCAGTTCTTCATAGCAAGGACTTTTTTCTCAAATTCAGGCAGAACTTCCTATGCTTCATTTTGTGGCCATTGCCTCTTGTCCTATTGCTGGCCCCTACTGAAAAAAGTCTGGTCCTATCCTCTTGAAACCCTACCTTTGGGTATTTATATACATGGATAAGATCCTCTCTCACTCTTTTATTCTCTAGACTAAATGGACTCAGCTCTGTCAGCCTGTCCTCCAGGAGAGGTACTGCTGTCCCATAATCATCTTAGTAGCCTTTTAATGGACTCTGATAGTCCCATGTCCCTCTTGCATTGGGGAGCCCAGAACTGGACCCAGCATCCCAGGTGTGACTCAGACCCAGGGATGAGTAGAGGGGAGGATCAGTTCTCTTGATCTACTGGCAACACTCTTGTTCATGAACCCCAGGAGACTACTGGTCTTCTTGAGCACAAGGGCACATTGCTGGCTCATGGTTGCCTTGCTGTCCACCGAGACTGCCAGGTCCTTCTCTGCAGAGCTACTCTGCAGCAGGTCATCCCCAGCCTG